ACTGGTCGATACAATGAGTGATCTGTGTAACGGAGAATGAAAATCATATCTATATTTGGACGTTTCCTCCTGTTGGCTAGCGTAGCATATAATAATATGATTGTGCTTCTAAATGACTCGAGTTTTGGCAGTTTATGTAATCACTGCCAAAACTCGAGTCATTTAGAAGCACAATCATAGTAAGCTGCCGGATAACTATCAGATATTCGGGTCTGAATTTATTTGGATAACCATTTACTAATGATATCTATTGATATCCGGATAAAAATTTTCGAATATCTGAGCGATCAGAATTATCCGGATAAACGGGTGATGGATTATCCGGATTGGAACTCTAAATTAAAAGAATTCACTTGTTTACCTAAATCTAAAATTATTTAATTTTCGTAATAAATAGGAGTAAGAGATTACATTCATGTCTGTGATCTGGCGACAGGTCATGTGGCAGCACTCCGAAAGTTAAAAACAAAACCCGGTTGTGTAGCTTATAATCTTGGTACAGGTGTTGGATACTCTGTTTTAGAAATAATTCAGGCCATGTCAAGAGCATGTTGTAAAGAGATTCCTTACGAAATTACAAAGAGACGTCCTGGCGACATTGCAGTCGTGACAGCAGACGCACGTCTGGCAAACGCTGAATTAGGTTGGTACCCAAAGTTTAGCCTAGATCAGATGTGTCAAGATCTTTGGCGCTGGATTGATTCCAATCCATTAGGATATCCAGAACCATCCAACGAAGCAAAACAAACTTTATATCAGATGTCAAATTGATATTTTAATATTATATTATTACTATTTTTTAAAAAACATATTTGTGTGGGTTTTTTATTGTGGACTTAGAATACCAAAATATTTTATTTCAAAAAGTTTATTATTTTTAATTTTTATTTTATATATAATCTTAATATTAGTAATTTTTCTTTTGTAATCACAGAACTTCAACTTATTAGATTTGCGGTTTATTGTGATACTGTATAACTGTATTATATACCCTTTCTAGTTCACATACTTGGAAACAATTTAATTGAAAGAGATTTATTTGTTTTTTTTTAATATATTTTATATATTTAATTTTTCATTTATCTCTTAACAAATACTGCTGATTAAAATTTAATCAATTAAAATATCTTTTGCTTATCAATTTTTTTTACAATGTGTTAATGTGCCTTATACTCTTTTTAAATGATTAAGAAAATAGAACTATTAAAGGTCCGAAGGACTGTATTCGAATTAGTTTATTTCAGTTATGAATGGGCAAAGTAGTTTATAAGTAATAATGATTTATTACTTATTCCTTACTTATTAAGTAATATTATATAATAATGGTCGGAAAAACTGAGATTGAGTAAATTTGCTACTAAAAATAAAATTAACATTATTAAATAATATTAAGTAAGAATACGTATCGGTATTAATTTTGCCCATCCCTAATTTCAATATTTTCTCAAGCACAAATTTTTGTTAGTAAAAAAATATGGTAACGAATCAATTGTATTGATTATTCTAATGAATAAAACATGTGATGAAAGTTTAGGATATTTATAGATAGTTGTGCTTATTGGTCGAAATTTTTCATTGATTGATTAGAATAAAGTATTTCACTCTTATCATCGTTATAAATCTTCTGAAATCATAATCAACGTCGACAAATTATTTATTACCTTATGCTAAAAATCTTCGCCGCAAATAAAAAAAGGAACGTTTTTGTGGTTTGTTGGTTTGTAGTAATTCTGAAAAATAAGAAACAGAATTTGGAAAATGTCGTAGATTGCTTTATCCTTTCGTTAATCCACCGTTTTCATTATTATTTTTTTTTTTATTTCGATTTGTAAAAAATAATAATTGCTAAATGGTAATAATAATGATAGTTTGCTCAAGCATCAATTGCAACCAATATTTTAATTAATCGTAAACTTAAGCAATTGAGGAGGATGTTTTACCATCCATATTATCGGTCTCAAAAATGGTCTAAATTGGAACCAGATCCAAAAGTTCATTTCCTTATCTAATATTATGACGTTAATTTCGAGTACGCCCATGTGTTATTTCTAAATATGAGAAGATTTTCCAAATTCGATCAATAAATGTGCGCCGTTGGGTAAAGTGCATTTATAATATATTCAATATATATGAAAGTATATATTATGGAAAATAATATATATATATATAATATATATATAATATATTAAATAATTATCAAATTATGTGCACTTATCATTATAAGGAAAGTGCATTTATAGAGTGTGCGCTTATGGAGTATCGACTGTTTATCTATCGCGAGCGCTAATTTGAGACCATATAAGTTATTCTTAAAGGGCCCGATTTTCAAAATAACGCCCACAAGCGTTATTTCGCGCTTATACGGTAAATAAGCTTTTTATGTGGAGAATTATTAATTTAGAATAACGTTATTTTATAGCTGTTTCGCATCCAATAACTGGTATACAGTATAGTACGATAACTACAATCTTTACCACAAATACAATAACAGATAATAAATGTAACTTGATTTATATTTTAGAGATTTATATATATATTATATACCAAAATATAAGATGTTTTAATTTTTAATATAGTATACAAAATAAATGTTTATTACTTCGATTAATGTTTATCGATTATCATAAAACAAAAAGATGACTATGGAAAATTAATATATTGTTTTTAGAGTTCCAATCCATTAAGCATTTATCCGGATAATTAATTACTTTTTTATTAGTTATTTTTCCGGGATTTAAACTATTATCATATTTCCCGAAAATTTTGAATGAATTTACGAAAAAAAATTCATTCCATTAGGAAATGGATAATATATTAGTGTCGTGGTGATGACCAACACCCCTTGTGTTGATAGTGCTAGGGTTAGGTACGATCACGGGTTACCCGATTGGGACTGGGTAACGTCAATGGCGTGATCGTTGATGCATGAATTTAATTTATAGTCTATTTGTAAGTATTGCATAATGTGTGTAACCCGGGTAATCAAGTACCCGGATTGATAATCTAATAAAAAGAGTATCGATTCCTTTGGAATCGAAGACGATTGTTTGCTTAGTGAATACACGTTCTAGTATATACACAGTAGTATAGGTGGTAGTGCCTGGTACGATACGCCAGTGCGCAAAGCGAGTGCTCTGACTAAGTGAATCGAGCCCAAAACCCCTATTAGTGAAAACGGATACGACAATTAGGCTAATTGAAAAGGAAGAGTATCTCGCATAATTCTTTTTTTTTTTAACCGATATCTAAGTATTCGGATCCAAATACTACGCTCAATATATCAATCAATTGATACATATAATTTTTAGAGTAATAGACAATGACATGTAAAAAAGGTTATACTTAATATAAAAGTTCTTTTATTGACATTTAGACATTTTAACAAAAATGCATAAAAATAATTTTAATATATACTGTATATACAATAATAGCATAGCTATAGAACTAATAGCATGAAGCAGTTAGTTAAATTATAAAACCAATAAATAGCACAACAGTTGCATTATAATAACCATCTCCTATCAGCTTAAAACAGTTAATTTTTTTTTTACTGAACAGCAATCTTCATTCCGATAGGAGCAGACTTTGGAAGTTTAAGTTCTAAAACACCGTGTTCAAATTTAGCAGTTATATTATCGGCTTTAATATTTGAAGGAAGCGATAAAGTACGAGTAAATGTTCCATAACGACGTTCTTGAATATGACTGGCTCCTTCCTTATACTTTTCATCTCGTTCAAGTTTACCAGAAATGACGAGAGCATTGTCGCGAACATCTATATTAATTTTATCTTTTGTGAAGCCCTATTTGTTTAAAGAATAAATTTAAATAAAAGTTGAATAAGAGTATTCAGAATTTTCAAAAAAAAAAGACTTCTTTTAATAGTAGTAATTTGGAGGTAGACTTACAGGAAAATCAGCACAAATAGTAAACTCTTTGTCATTTTCATGAACGTCAATTAGAGGACGCCAATTGTTATTACGATTACCACGAGTATTTCCACCACGCTTTGCAACGTCAAGATCACTCCAAAAACCGTCAAACAAACGGGAAACAGCGGTTTCAAAACGACCTAAGTCAGAATCCAAGTACATTTGTTTAATATAAAAGTTGATTGGAGTAGTTATGGTTTAATACTTGTTTTTTTCAGTTGAGAAAGTCAAGAACATAGAGAGAGAACAAGGGGCAATTATATATATCTTAAAAAAATAGTATGGGACTAATTTCTAGGAATGCCTAGCATTTTCTTGATACAGTAAATCACCAAGGTTTCTTTAATAATTACATTAAAATAATTCTCATGGCTAACTTTAGATAGTAATTTTTTGTGGAACATTCTGGAGTATCCCCTTTTATCATGTAAACAATGTGAGTTATACAAAATTTGTTTATTGCGGTGTTACCTTTTGATCGGAGATTTTCATGGAATGATCTGGAATCTCGTGATTTCTTAAAATATGCAATTTTCAGAATTTTAACTTTTATTGAAATAGTGATTTTATCTAGATTATTCACGAAACGGCAAGAAATTATATCATTACTACGCCATTCTTGTGAAAAATTGTATAAATAATGATTCTATTAAACCAACACGTCAAAAAAATCAAGTTTAAAAGCGAATTATAAAATTATTACACTTAAAAACCAATTTAGCAACTTATTCAACCACTTTTTAATTAAAAATAAAAAACTATAGTCAAAATGTCTTTATACTGGCCTGATTACAGATTTGGTAATTTCGAAAATTCGGTAACTCGTCTATTCGATGATTTCTTCAAGGACCTTAATGTTGAAAGACAATCTGGAAATAATAATACACGAAGTGTTAGTCGAACTGGTTGGGTTCCATCTCTCGATGTTCACGAGAGTGAAAAAGAATTTATTGTGAATGCTGAATTACCAGTATGTACATTATTATTATTATAGTTCTCATTTTCTTAGAATTTTTGTATAACTGTATTTAATCAATTTTTAACATTTAATTAAATAAATAGGGAGTTACAAAAGAACAAATTAATCTTGATGTTCGTGAAAATACACTTTTAATTTCTGGCGAGACTAAAAAAGATGAAAAATATAAGGAAGGAAATACACATATTCAAGAACGTCAATATGGAAATTTCACTCGTGCTATTACACTTCCTCGTAGTGTTAAAACTTCTGATATCACAGCTAAGTTTGAAAATGGCATTCTTGAAGTAAAACTTCCAAAGGATGAAGATGCAAGTAGGAAAATTACTGTTCAATAATTTGACAAATAGTTAATTCATATTATATGTAAGCTTATATATACTGTATGTTAAAAACCATTTTTTGCATTGTATATTTTATATTTACGAGAATTTGTAATTAAACATAGTATTAAAGTTATGCTTAAATAAATAAAGAATTATTATTTAGCAAATAAATCTATTGCAGTGAGGTGATTGGTTTTTAATGTGTATGACATTAATTTTAATAGGTTGAGCAGTTTTTAAAGTTTATATATATATATATATATATATATATATATGAAAATAAACACTTCTCATCAATAATGGACATTCATATTGTTCAAAGTTTACATTAGATTTATATGTAATAAACAAAGATAAAGGGTGTGCAAAAGTTTCCTCTACCTCTATGCTTTCGATACTATAAAACTTTTTTGTGTAATTATCATAATTGGCGGGCACAAAGATTATAATACCCTAATAAATAGATATATATACACTGAGTTCTACGAAAATTCTATTTCCGTATATATGGGGGTGAGTCAGTAGAAACGCACCATATTTTTTCTAAGTAAATTTTTTTGAAACTTTAAACAAGAATAA